AATTAAATTACCTAATATTAAAGCCTTATATATCTAGATCTCTCTTTGATGTCTTAATTAATGATATGGTATTTCGATTCAGCAATGAAAATGTTTTCAAAGAAACAATAAAAACGGAAAACTTGCCAATGGCAATCCGTGAAAGAAGGTCCTTGCTGAGTGGAAGCCTTCATACGCGGATATCTCTCCTTCTCTTTCTATTCATTCACACTTTGTAGAAGTAATTGATATCATTCTCTCTCTCTCTCTCTCTCTCTCTCTCTCTCTCTTCCTCTCTTTCGTTCATTCTCACGTATTCTTTCTTTCTCTCTACGTAATTATGCTTGTCTCGATATACTGTAATTTTTAGCACCATCTTTTCTTTAAGCGATTCTTCTATCCATAATCGTTTTGCCAATCCTTCATAACAAATAGTTCCCTGGTGGTGGTTTGATAATTAGTCAAATTACACTCACAGGAACGTTAATCTTGCCTCCTTCGTATCCTGCTTAATTGCATGTTTTAAAGGTGAAACTCGAAAACGTAAAATACTAGCTCCTGATACCTTTTTCTCTCTCTCTCTCTCTTTCTCTCTCTTTCTCTCTCTTTCTCTCTCTTTCTCTCTCTTTCTCTCTCTTTCTCTCTCTTTCTCTTTTTCTGGTATATTTTAATAGTATATCCCGTGATTAATGTTGATCCTCTTTTGGATGTATGTATTACAGGCCAACGATATTTTTTTTTAGCAAATAGATTTATATCGAATTCCATTAGATAAGCGAATTATAGATGTAAGGTATTTGATTTCACTGGTCTGATTATCATTTTTCTTCTCTATTATGAAATTTTCAAGCAATAAATTGTTATAAAGATATTATTAGTTCGATTGTGTGTGATAACGTTGAGAGATTCGTTGTGTGTTATATGAATTTCTTCTTTTATCGAGGAATATATATGTATGAAGCACTGAAAGTCGAAAAAACGCGTAGGTTATACCAATGGGATTTGAATTGATTATAAAATGAATAGATAGTGTCCTATCATGCCTTACGAGACATCATTTTCTTCTTCTTTGTTCATAACTGGAAGCCTATGTCTTTCGAAGACTAGTCTCGAACACTCGATGTCGATCAGGATCATAAATTATCCCGAATGTGCTATTCTTCCTTTTTTTTTTTTTGTTTTTTTTTTTTTATCATTGATAATATATGACTAATACAATCCTTGCCTAAAAGGATTGCTGTCACCGGCTGGTCTTTGTTGTTCAATTACATCAGGAGGAACTCTTCTGAACGGATTCACATCCATTTGCGATCCCCGTTGCTCTTGCATCTCCTGTTGTGTATAAGGTTGTTGTTGTTGTAATAATGATGGTTGTTGTTGTTGCGGTTGTTGTATATATCCGACTGGTTGTGCATAATTTAAAGGTGTTTGTTGTTGGTCATACGTAGGAGCTTGTTGCTCGTAACCACTAGCTTGATTATAAGCAGGAGCTCCAATATTTTGACCGTATCCACTTTGATCATATCCTGTATTTTGCATAGTCTGATAATTTGGATCATAATTTTGATCGACGTCCGTTTCCATTCGAGTTTGATTTAAATGATTACCAAGCTCACCGGATATCGGTCTTTGCTCTTGAAGTACATAAGTTTGATATTCTTTGTCGGGTGGATCTTGCATTAATACATTAGCTTCGTCTTGGAATGGCTTGAAATCATAAATATGTCGGAGATAATAAAGAACAGGTGCGTAAAGGAGATTTGAAAAGGCTATGCCAATGTTAAGAGCCGTAAAACCGATTGCTTCAACTACACCACCGGCTATTATAGGACCAACTGCATACGCAATGCTGTAGGAAATGTCTGCAATGGCATAGATACTACCGTAAACTGACACATATCTGACGTCCACGAGATATCCAAGCGTCGGTAAAAGAGCAGTATCGATAAGAGCAATGCCAAAACAGATTCCACAAATTGGAATCATTAAGGCCTTGTACGAGGTCGAAAATGGAATGATGAAGCAACAGAGACCTTCCAGAGCAAGACCACCGGCTGCCATTAACCATGTATGTTGGGGATACTGTTTGGCCATTTTGACGGTAATTATGACGCCGAAGACATGAGGGAAGAATGCTGGTAGCCAGATCATACCCATCTTCCAATAATCGTGAGTTATATTGTGATCTTCCATCCAAAGTGAGATGGTTGGTTCCAAAAAGGCCAAAGCTACGTTCGACATCATGAGAGCACCAGCACATACAGCGATATAGGGATCCATTAAAAGTCGCCAAATTGGTATCGTCGGTGTATGTTCGCGATGTCTTTCCTTCAATTGTTCCTTCATAGGTTTCATTACTAGCAGTAACATAAAACCGTCGGCCAAGCTGACGAAAGCCAATATCAAGAAAGGCATCTCCTTACCAGCGAATTGATACAAAGCACCACCAAATGGCGGAGCTACTAAACAGCCAAAACTTATGAAGGCCAAAGCTATTCCAAGAGCCTTTGAACGTTCTGATTCTTCAGTGAAGCGATCGGCTATCATAGCAAGACCAGAAGTGTCCGCAAAAGCCGAACCCACTCCTTGAAGGCTTCTAGCAAAAAACAATACACCATAGCTCTTGCCGCAAGCGAATACGGCCGTCGATAGGAACATGATGCACAAGCCTATCATCATTGGAATATCATAACCGATTCTATCGATTAGCGCACCCGAAAACGGATTCACCATCAGCTGTACGATCGCTTTAGACGCGAATAACACTCCCGTTGCCGAGTCTTGTCCATGATGCGATATAGGAACGGTTACATTCCCTTGTTCGTCTTCTTCCCCATACGTATTGACGTATTTTAAATAATGTGGTATTATCGGTACGATCACCATATACAGCATGTTGTCAAGCAATAACGCAACCGATACGATCACCAGGACGAGCTTACGTTGCGCTTTTGGCTCTTGTAGCTTCGTCCAAACGATCTCTTTCAGCTCGCCAATCTCCATGTTGATTATCGGTAACGTCGTCATCCTGTAGCTGATTTGCCGGAACAAGTAGTATCCAGAATTCTTCGGTGGACCTTAGTGATGATAGTAGAACTAACGAGAGGAACTAATCGCGATCAGCATGTGCGACCTTGCGAGCGAGCGTGACGAGGAGATCGTCGCGATTGGGACGATGCGCATCAGGCCGGGCCGGGGGTAACCTACAACAGATCACCGAGTTGATACGATTAAATGCCGCGAAATCCTGATATTATATACTTTCGAATACATGTTGAATAGATTATTTTTCTCGTTTATTTTTCTTTTCATCATATCATCATATTTTTATCTTTCCTTGTTGTTTCCTCGAGCTTCGTTTTGGAATAAGCTTGGATTTAGCGACACGCGATAGCTAGCAAGAAAAAAAGGGAAGCCCTGACCCGGCCTGGTCAGCGCATGAAACTATTTCTCTCTCACTCTTTCTCTCTCTCTCTCTCTCTCTCTCTCTCTCTCTCTTTCTCTCTCTCTCTCTCATTCTTTCTTTTCGTCTCACCCGACCCGACATTACGCGAGATCCTCGTCATCGTTATAAGAAGACACGAAAGAACCCTCGAAGCAAAGCTTTCGGCTGATTTACACACGCACCTCTCCAAGGGTTCATAGTAAGAGTTAACACGACACCCCGGGTGGAAGCTCCCCCTCGACATGGCGTCGCGCTGCGATCGACTCTCTTTCTCTCTCTCTCTCTCTCTCTCTCTCACTCTCTCTCTCTCTTTGATATCGGGTTACCGGAGATAAAAACACAGGAGTCGTGGCTGAAAACGGGGTCGACCGTGGCTTTGTTAGAAGGGTCTCTGTTAATTACTCGACCAGTCTTTCAGGGAAAATCAATTGAACAGGATGAAGATCTTCACGAAGAAATATAATACATAACTGAAGTATCACGATTGTATTATGTGTAGTAGATAGAGACTACGTTCTGAAACCTGAATTTATATATACATATCGATCGTGGCTGAAGATCAGCCTAAACCCCACGAATTATTGTTAGCGGATACGACCCTCGTTTATTAATTACGAAGGATAATTGTAACGAGAAAGGGGTTGCCGTTGCTTTAAGCCCCCCCTTCCCCCTCTGTGTTATGGTATAGTGAAAGATATAAATGTAGTTTTGACGAAGGAAGGAAGGAAGGAAGGAAGGAAGGAAGGAAGGTAGGAAAGGAATGAGAAAATCAAAAGTAGTTGACTTACCAGAATTGTTAGCAAATCTCTGCCTGAGGGAATTGGCAAGTCGTTGGGGACCCGCCAAGGTCGGAAGTCCGGCGAACAAACCGCTTAGAGTCGCGGCGACGTCCGGTCGATTTTCCTCCGTCGAGTCATTCACGGAGGACTCCCTGGCTCCTCGCGTCCTCGGGCCCTCCACCTTTTCGAATCGAATCGACAACCGAGCCTGAATAAAATAATCAACATATTTTCATGAAAAATATATCTTTAAATTCTTATACAAAAGATATATGAAATATTATATATATATATATATATATATATATATATATATATATATATATATATATATATATATATATAAGAGGATGAAGAAGAAAAGTAAGGAAAAAAAAAAAAAAAGAAGTGACAAAAAAAAATGGATAAAAAGTTAGGCATGAAATTGTACTTACTAATACCGAAGGGCTCCCGATGACAGGGGCGTCTCGGCGTGTCTCTCCGTCGGGGTGGCTTTTCAACGTCTGTCCTCGAGGTTCTCCCCGCCACCGTGAATGCGGCACCCTCTTTTCGTCTCCGTACCTAGCAGGAGCTTGAGTGGAAGAGCTTCTGCCCAAGGCGCAGTCGCCAATACTGGGATTCACGGATTGGTTGTACCATGGTCGTGTGTCAGCCCCCAAACCCTCCACCATCGACGTGAATTCTTCTCTACACTCCGCCACCGTACGTCGTACCTCGTTCGTGTTCGCCGATCTATCGAGGGAACCAGGGGGATGAAGAGAGAGAGAGAGAGAGAGAGAGAGAGAGAGAAAGAGAGAGACAAACGGACACAGAGAAAGAGAGAGAGAGAGAGAGAATGAAAAGAGAGGGGATAGGAAGGGTGAGAGAGGTTGGCACCAGGTATGACGACGTCGGTCGATGCTGCGCGGTATTTCTAGCGGCAGGTCGATATGGGCTTCACCTGTATCACCACTAGCTCTCCCTCCCTCCCTCCCTCCCTCTCTCTCTCTCTCTCTCTCTATCTCTCTCTTTCTTTCTCCCTCTTCTCTAAGGGTAGATACTACATCTATCTCTCTTTCTCTCCTGGACTGTGATAAAAGGGGTTCTCCGTACGGACAGTGGCTCCCTTCGAATTTTCTTTTGGTTCCTTAGCGTGATTGTTGTCCCTTTTTTTTTTGTTTTCCTTCTTCTTTTTCTTTTGTTCTTTTTTTTTTTTTTTCTTTTTTTTTTTTCTTTTTTTGAGAGAGAGAGAGAGAGGATAGAGTAGCTTTTTGAATACATTGAGGAACTGTTTTCTCTCTCTCTCTCTCTCTCTCTCTCTCTCTCTTTTGTTCCTTGGTTTTTTTTTTCTTTTTTTCTTCTTATTTTCTTTTTAAAACAAAACAAATTTAGAGAAAAGGTTGTCAAAAGAATGCACGCTTGTTTTATCATTCTTACTAATTTATTTTAAAGGAACATGATGACAAATGAAATTTATAATATAACTTGTGATAAATATATAAAGATTGATATAGTTTTTAGGATATCTTTTAATCGAAGAGTAGTTGAGAATCATCGTGATCAAACTGATAGATGGTGGAGGTGAACAGTCGGGGTGATCGAGATTGCGTAACGGGCTCGCGCTACTAAACGAAATCGACAGAGTCAATCGGATAAACTAATTTGAGTCGTATCTCGAGTATTTCGAAAATCTTATTAGTTTGACAGGATCATTTCGTAGTTGGAACGTCGTTTATGTCATCTAATATATATATATATATATATATATATATATATATATATATATATATATATATGTATGTATGTATATATATATGTAAGTATGTATGTATGTATATATTTTTTTTCTTTTTTCTTTTTTTCGCATTTTATTCGAAAGGGAAAGATTCGAAAATAAGTAGAGAGAAATAATGAAAAATATCGTGCATTCTCTAAGCTATATATTTCTTTTCTCTCTCTTTCTCTCTCTCTTTCTCTCTCTTTCTCTCTCTTTCTCTCTCTCTTTCTCTCTCTTTCTCTCTCTCTCTCTGCTTCTCTTTCTCTCTCTTTTTCTCTCATTTTCTCTCTTTCTCTCGACGAACGGAAGAGATTAAAAATACACGCTCCGCTTCTCTCTACATTGACTTGTAAAAGTTGAACATCGTTTAATCAAATAGATTTCTTCATCCCTTTCTCACTCAGAGAATACGTTCCTTCAATAGAAATTCTCGTTTAAATTTATCATTATATTATTTTAATTTTTTATATATATATATATATATATATATATATGTATACATACATACGCGCGCGTACAAACACACACACACACGCACACTCACATGGTACATATATTCTGTCTATATTTTACATAGGAGAAACATCGTTGAAGTTTCCAGTAACGAAAGAAAAGCTCGATATCGGAGCAAGCTTTCATTGAAGTCTTTCCGCGACGGTAAAGGAAACGAAATAATACATATATCTTTTATCTCTTATAAATATCATTGATCAATTATTTTCTATTAATGAAATTCTTTCAAATGTAGAAATTAGAAATACGTAGTATTGATTAATTTTGAGAACAGTATCAAGGCTATTAATATAAATAGCGTTTATTAGATGAAGTTAAGCTTAACTTTTTACGATTTATTTTCATCGTTCTTTTTTTTTTTTTTTTTTTTTTTTTTTTTTTTTTTTTTTTTTTTTTTTTTTTTTGTCTTATAAAGGAAGACATTGTGAGTTGAGTCTAGTCAGGTCTCCTTGATATTGAGTTAGAGTAAATTGTAGGAAAACTAAGCATAGGATTAAATTATAAATATTTATTTATAATCCGGAATCTGTCCTTCGTATAATGAGTCCCCCCGCCCTCCTCCCCCCCCTGAAATATGGTTTTTTACTTACCTGATGTTCTTCGTCTATTTTTCTTGAGTTTTATTATTCCTTTTCTTTTATATTAGGTATTAGAATTCGAATACCTATTTGATCCCCATATTGTCATCGTTTATGATAATTATTGTGTCCCTACGCTTTCCCTATTTTTCTATTTTCTTTTTAATTCTATACTTCCTAAATTTTTTCTATTTTTCAACTTTCCTCGATGATTATCGTTCGACAATTCTCATTTATTTTCGGGACTATCTACTTCTACTATCTTCGATAATCTTACTTTCAATAGACTCTCTTATCCCTTCATTAGCTCTGAGACTGAAGGGGCCTTACATTTATTTATTTTTACGTGAGAACGTTCGAACGTTCTGAATACACGCGAGTCCGGTTGGAGTATCCGACGTAAAAATAATAAAATAAAGTCTGCTTTAATTAAATTTGATGTTATTTTAT